TTAGAGTTCTATGAAAGTAGGAATCAAATCAATCAGTTCACTCTTCTATCTCCGAGACCTAGCCGTGCCTCTCCAAAATTTGTGGAATGCGTAAATGTATGAATGGAGGAGGAAGGACTGAAAAGTGTCCAAGGATTTAGCAATGTAAAGGTCTTTGATCTTGCTGGGACTGTCAGTAGAGATATGAAGGCAAAAGCCATGATTCAGAAGTTTGAGGATGATGGGAGGTGAGGAAATGAAAACAGTGACAAATAACTCCATAAGAAAATATGGCTGAAAAGAGAAGATATATAGGATATTTGAAAGAGAGAATAGTGAGGATTTTTTAAGTTCTATATTGATACATTTTCTTTACGCTATTTTTTAACAATACCAAGAGTTCAATTACCTTTCCTACCCATAAGACTCCAAAATCTCTTATCTCTACCCTTTACCTATTCCCAGCTTTTCACCACCAAATTGCCAACCACACTGAAAGAGAATTCTAGATTTATGGCCCACCCAAATTAAGCAAGTCATGGGATGAGGGGTGTTGAAAACCCAGTTCCAGTTACAACCCCCAGCAATCAGAGGTGGATTCGTAACAAAGGTGCCACCAGAAAAATCTTAAAGACTTTGATTCATATCCCTTTTCTATTCAAAACCATTCAATAGTTCCTTCATGCCTAATATGGCCAAAATCTATCCTTCCCTTAGTTCCCCAAATCTCTATGCTCTTTAGTTTTCTCATCTATAAAATGGGGAAATAGTAATACCCAAGCATAATATTGTTATATGAAGGGAAGTAATATATGTAAAGTATATGGCTGCACATACTACGTGTGGTGTTTGCTACAAGTGTGATCATCTCAATAAATTACACTAAATTGCTCAAGCCAGAAACCTGGGGATTCATCCCTGATTTCTCTCTCCTTTAACTGTCACATCCAATCCCTCTCCAAGTTGTCAATCTACCTTCAAAACAAATCTTTAATTCATCGGATCCCCTCTATTCCACCCCATTAATCCAAGTCACCATCACCTCTTGCCTGAACTACTAGAAACCTCAAACTTTCCTCCCATTATTAATACAGCAGCCAGGTGGTTTTTTTTATTTATAAGTTTACTTATTTTTGAGAGAGAGTACAAGCAGAGGAGGGACAGAAAAGAGGGAGACAGAATCTGAAGCAGACTTCGGGCTCTGAGCTGTCAGCACAGAGTCCAACACAGGGCTCGAACTCACAAACTGTGAGAGCATGACTTGAGCCCAAGTTGGATACTTAACCGACTGGGGTTTTTATTTATTTATTTTATTTTTTGAAGTATAACAAACATTTTTTTTAAAGTGCACACATCGTAAATGTAAAGCTCAGATGAATTTTCACAAAGTAAACATAACCACATAACCATTACAGGATCATCAGACAAACCTCATCATGATTCTAGTATATAAATTCTTCCCTGAATTCCCAATGCATTTGAACTAAAATCCAGTCTCTTTCTCATGGCCAGAGTCCTCGCATGGTTTGGCCCCTTACCTCTCTCACATCATAGTATGCCTTTCAGTTACTCTTCATTTCCTCTTTTGCTAGCTATTGCAGCCTTCAAATTTGCTAAGCTCTTTCCCATCCTGGGGCCTTCACAAACACTGCTCCTTCTACAAGATTCTTCCCATCCCACCCACCCCCACCAACTCCTCATGTGGCTAGCTCATAATTCAGGTCTTGGTTTAATTGTAATCTCCTCAGAAAGGCACTCTGTTTACCCAGTCTAAAAGGTTCTGCACTCCCAGCCCACACTGCCACACCATCCCAGCCCTCTCATTCTATTTACAAATTGTATCTTAATTTACTTGTTTATTATTTGCTTCCCCAATTAGACTGTAAATTCTATGAGGGCAGATACAATTTCTGTTTTTATTACTACTTCATATCCAGCACCCAACATAGTACCTGACACATATAAGTTACTTAATATTGGGCATCTGGGTGGCTCAGTCGGTTAAGCGTCTAAATCTTGATTTTGGCTTAGGTCAGGACCTCATTGTTTGTGAGTTCGAGCTCCGCATCAGGCTCTGTGTGGACAGTGCATGGAGTCTGCTTGTTATTGTCTCCCTCTTTCTGCCGCTCCCTGCTTGCTCTCTCTATCTCTCTCAAAATACAAATAAACTTTACAGAGTGCTAGGTGGCTCAGTCGGTTAAGCAGCTGACTTGGCTCAAGTCATGATTTCATGGTCTGAGTTCAAGCCCTGCATTGGGCTCTGTGCTGACAGCTCAGAAGCTGGAGCCTGCTTTTGACTCTGTGTCTCCCTCTCTCTTTGTCCCTCTCCCACTCATGCTGTCTCTCTCAAAAATAAGTGAACATTCAAAAAACACAAATAGACTTTTAAAAAATGTTACACGATATTTATTAGATAAATTATTGTCCACAGGCAAGGTACTAAAGCTAGCATTTGAGACCTTCCATAATCCATCTAAACCTATTTTCAACATACTCTCTACTATTCCTTTCTGAGCCTCTACAGTTAAAACAAACAATTTGTTCCTATCCCCTCCATGCTGCCTCTTAGCCTCAAAAGCTCTATCACCACTACTATGACTTGCCCCAAACATACTCATCTTTTGAGGTCCACCTAATTCACAAAACTTTCTCCGTGGACATCTGTTATGATATGAGGTACAGAATGTACCAGGTTACATCATTGTTTTAAAGAGCAACTGGCAAAGGGAAGCAGATATAAAATACGAGGTTAGAAATAACGTTTTTGCCTTTGGTTATGTAGGTCAAAAAGGGTGTTCTATTTAAGGTGATTTGTAGTGCTGTATTTCTCCCAGCTGATAATTATCTCTCTCTAAACTCACATTTTAACCTATCTGATGGCTCTGAATACCTCTTTACATAAGTGCACTTTTTACGTGTCTTATCTATTAGTACATTATAAACCTGAGGATGGGATTTATGACAAGGTGGTTATTTGTTGGCTGTAATAGTTGACATTAGCTACTTTTGACTGTCTTTTCCTTGTGCAGTTTCAATTTACTTTTGGGGTGTTTTCAAGGACCGTTAATCAAAATGTGGAGAGGACATCTGAACTAAGGTAGGGCAATAGAATTTGAATCCTAAGTACAGTGACAGAAATTTCTTGAAGTTCATTCATTTTAATAATGCTGTCTGGATGCGACTTGACTAATTCTTGCTAGAGACATGCAATAGGACTGTAGTTCTGTTCTTTTACAGCTGGCTTTCCTCATTTCAACTACTCTATATATATCCTATATATATATATATATATATATATGTGTGTGTGTGTGTGTGTATATATATATATATATACACATACATATATTTTTTTTAGTTTAAATATTGGCCTGTTTCTTTGGCTTGTAACCAAAGAACCCTAAAATTGATACAAATGTTTAACCAATTTCCCACTTGTAGTAGATGCTGTCTCAACTTTGTCCTTTCATTGTTTAATTAAGAAAAGCCTTGGGGCGCCTGGGTGGCTCAGTCAGCTAAGCATCCCACTTCTGCTCAGGTCATGATCTCACCGCTAGTGGGTTCGAGCCCTGCGTAGGCCTCTGTGCTGACAGCTCAGAGCCCAGAGAGTGCTTTGGATTCTGTGTGTCTCTCTCTCTGCCCCTCCCCCAACTTGCAGTCTATCTCTCTCTCAAAAATGAATAAATGTTAAAAAAAAAAAAATCCTGCATATGGGGTGCCCGGGTGGTGCGGTCAGTTAGGCATCTGACTCTTGATTTTGGCTCAAGATACGATCTCATGGTTCATGAGATCGAGCCCTGCTTCAGGATCTTTGCTGGCAGTGTGGAGCTTGTTTGGGATTCTCTCTCTCCCTCTCTTTCTCTCAAAATAAATAAACTTTAAAAAGAAAAGAAAAAAGAGAAGCCTGCATACAAGGGCTACCATTGTTAGAGGCTAGTTAAGGGCTAGTATGTGTCAGGTACTTTTATATAGAGACATTCTCTCTAGTCCTTAGAATTCTGTAAGGTAAAAAAATCTTCTATAAATGTGATTTTCACTGGCAGTTTATTTGGTAGAGTATAAAACACCCTTTAGAACTATAATTAAGATTAACTTGCAAGATTTTATTGAAACAATTAAACCCAAATCTTGTTTTTGAAGATTCTCATTATCCAAACCAATTATCTTTATACCACAAGGTACTCACAGGCAGTGAATACCTTCTATCCATTTAGCACAGAAGTGGGGAGGAGTTGGAGAAAGAGGAATGATTAAACGTGCATAAGCAACTCAAAGTAGGCAAAGTTCCATATGATGTAAAAGCACTTTGCTAACTGCAAGTTACATTAATTTTAGTATGCAGTGAAAAGTACCATCTTTCAAGCGTCCCCAATTCATTCTAGGTAGAACTCATCAGGATCCCTGTCTTAGCACTGAATTCATATCGCTGTGACACATCCGACTGTATAGGAGAGTGGTAACCATTTTCATCAAGTGTGGCAAGTGCCTAGTTATGCTTAAACGTAACTCCACCTAGAAGACAGTTAATCTACCGGCTAGAAAGTAATCTTTCCAAGTTCTGAGGAACAGCAGGAACCTTTCTCATTCTAATCATCTTTTTAAAATCAGCTGCAATAAAGCTAAATGCTTCTATCTACAGCTGCCAAATCCCTCCCCAGAGGGCCGACCATAAATTAACCACCACGCCCGGCGCGCTGAGAGAGAACTTCCGTGTGTCCACAGTCCCTTTCGTCCCCTCAACCCTAACTAAATCGCCAAAGGGAATACGGGCCTCAGCAACAGGCCCGAACTCGTGGTTCTGGGTACCAGACGTCGGCGAGGCGCCCCAAACATCTTGCCAAAAAGACCTCTGCAGAGAGATTAAAAGGTGTGGCTTTCCACCGAGGATACGATGCAAAACCAGCTAAGGAAAGTAAAACCAACGAGCGGACAATTCCACTCCAAGACAGACCCCAAGACTCTTTCATTCCGGCGGAAGCGGAAGTCCCGGTGGAGTCATAGAGTTTGCTAGTTCCGGTTTCCGGGCCACGTTCGGAGCTAGAGTGCCGCCCGTCCGCCAGCCGTCCGGGTCCCCAGCGCTTCTATTTCCCGGTGCGGCTTCTGTCATAAAGCAGGGGCCTCTCTACAAACGTGTAGTCGTGGGTCCTTCGCGCCTCGCCGGGAGTCAGCGAAAAAGGACGGGCCCTGGCGGGGGTACTTCGCAGCCGACGTCTCTAGCCAGTCCTTGCGTACCGAGTCCGCACTGGCACCTCTAATCCCTCAGAGCTAGCTGGCTCTTGAGCATTCACGAATTAGAGTCCCTGATTCGCAGCCTCCAGGACTGCAGCTCCAGAAGATAGCACTCCTTCGCCCATGCCTGTCCCCATAGGCACGCTCTGCCCTGTGAGGTGCGGCATTTGACAAGTCACCCCTACCTCACACACCACTTCTACCCACGTTTACCTTAACTTCGTTGTTAACCTCCTTAATTTGAGACCCCTCCCCTCTGCCTCCAGAAGAGGTCTTTTTCCCCCCACTTACGTAAAAGGAGTTTTGGGTCTCTTGAAGAAAGATTACCTCTAAGACTGAGCACCCATTCGATAACTAAAACGAGTTCATGCTTACTAAAGAGTTTGTGGGCAAAGTGAAACCCAGTGCACACCGGAAACTATGGCTGAGCACGGGGCTCACATCACAACTGCTTCTGTGGTGGATGACCAGCCCTCCATCTTTGAGGTGGTAGCACAGGAGAGTTTAATGACAGCAGTGAGACCTGCTCTTCAGCATGTGGTCAAGGTAAGGTGTTAATTCTCTATAAGATTTTAGGGACTGGGTAAAAACCAAACCAATAATTATAATTCATATCCTATGATTTAACGGTTACTGAGCCCATGTTATGTGTAGAGCCTTGTACTGAATAACCCAGCACTTGAGGGAGGATAGGGCAGATCCCAAAAGGAGTGCTTGTTTAAGCCTAAAGTATAGAATTTAGAAGAAAAAAGGGAAATGTGAATACGATGCACAGTAATTATGAAACAGAATGGATTTCATTTTATTAATTTACTTTGCTTTAGGTTCTTGCAGAGTCAAATCCTGCCCACTATGGCTTCTTTTGGAGGTGGTTTGATGAAATCTTCACTCTGCTCGATCTTCTGCTCCAGCAGCATTATCTGTCTAAAACCAGTGCCTCATTCTCTGAAAATTTTTATGGCTTAAAGCGCATTGTAACGGAAGACACACAGAAGCTTCAGAGGTTGGCCTGTGCTGGTCTCCCAAAGCAGCAGCTTTGGAAGTCAGTTATGTTCCTGGTTCTTCTTCCCTACCTGAAAGTGAAGCTGGAGAAGCTGGTTTCTAGCCTGAGAGAAGAGGATGAATATTCTATCCATCCCCCTTCTTCCCGCTGGAAACAGTTTTATAGAGCCTTCCTGGCAGCCTATCCATTTGTTAACATGGCATGGGAAGGCTGGTTTTTTGTACAACAACTTCGGTACATCCTGGGAAAGGCTCAGCATCACTCACCACTGCTGAGGCTGGCTGGTGTTCGGTTAGGTCGGCTTACATTCCAGGATATACAAGCCCTGGAGCACAGACCAGCTGAAGCCAGCATGATGCAGCAACCAGCCAGGAGGTACGGCTTTAACATTTTCCAAAATCTTTCATTAATAAATTCTAAAATCTTAACCTATTTTTATTAAATTCACCTTTTTTGGTTCACTTTGAGGTATGTCCGTAAAACAAGAGTGGCCATCCTGGTAAACTGCCTCATCATACTACCTACATTTTTGTGTACGTCCTGTGCTATGTGTATCGATTTATGTACGTTATCTCATTCCTCATCACATCCCAATGAAGTAAATTCATTATCCCGTTTAACAGCTGAGGAAACTGAGCCCTACTAGGGAAGTACCTTGCCAAGGCCGCATGGCTAGAAGGTGGCAGAACTGAGATTCAAGTCAGATCATCAGTTCTCAAGACTGCTCTTAACCACAATGCTATACTGCTTCTAGTTAGTGTTTGTGGTGTTCTACAAGTTCAAATATATATTCCTCAATATTGCCAAGTTATTTTCTGTTAAGTGAGTCATATCTTTTTCTGGATATGCTATCCTACACACACACACACACCCCTATGTAATCAATGTCTCACTAATTTCTTTCTTAAAATACAAAAATAAAGAAGATCCTAGTCATTAAATTCAAAGTTTAGCTCCTATAATCCCAAAAGACTGCAGGTCAGAAAAAAGAAGTCACTTAGAATAGATACTAAAGGAGACAGTGCCATTCTAGCAACTACTCAATCCCCAAACTGATCAGTGATTCTGATGAAGAGTGTAAGAACTATAATTATAGTAGTCATTCTGGGGTCATACCTAAATAAGCAGTTTCTCCTTTTGCCTCCTTGTTCTGTTCTCCCACCAGTGTTGGGGAGAAGATAAAGTCAGTTCTGAAGAAAGCTGCAGGAGGTGCTGCCTTATCCCTCTCTACTGGCCTTTCTGTGGGAGTATTCTTTCTGCAGTTCCTCGAGTGGTGGTACTCATCTGAAAATCAAGAAACCATCAAATCGCTGACTGCCCTACCTACTCCGCCACCACCTGTACACCTAGACTACAATTCTGATTCTCCCCTTTTACCCAAAATGAAGACTGTGTGCCCACTGTGTCGTAAAACCCGAGTGAATGATACTGTTCTCGCCACCTCTGGCTATGTGTTTTGTTATCGCTGTGTGTTTAATTATGTAAGGAGTCACCAAGCTTGTCCCATAACAGGTTATCCAACAGAAGTACAACATCTAATTAAACTGTACTCCCCTGAGAACTGAAATGAATTAGCATTTTATCTCACAACAAAATTATTGCACTATAAGGCAACAGGACTGACTTTCAGCACAGTACCTAGCATTGTTTGATACTTCTCATCCGACATTCATAATTATATGGACTTTAAACAGAGTTGACCCCTGAACATGTGTTCACTGGCCTCCCGTATATAACATGACTCCCCCAAAACTTAACTACTAATAGCTTACTGTTGACCAGAAGCCTTACCAATAGTTAATTAACACACATTTTGTATGTTAGATGTATTATATACTGTATTCTTGCAGTAAAGTAAGATAGGGAAAATATTAAGATCTTAAAATACCTTTATAGTTCTGTAAGAAATTCATACATAAGTAGACCCACACAGTTCAAATTTGTGTTGTTCAAGGGTCAAGTGTATATGAATTTCTTTAAAAAGCTGTATCCATTGATCTTAACCTTTTAACTTACTCTCTAGACTCCTACTTGGAGTTTACCAAGCTGATTAGAATAAGAGAATCAGGACTGACAGGAGACATGAAGATCAATGTACAGGAAGTGGATTAAAGGGGATAGTTAGTACAGAAGCTTTTCCTTAAAGAACAAGAGGTATAGAAGCTCTCGGGAAAAAACCAAGTTAGACCTTATAAAGTGGGTAGTGAATAGGTAGCAGCCCTTTTCGTGAGAAAAGAAAAGTATTTATCTGCCTAAGCAGAGATTTTATCAGTTTGCAAACAATGTGAAACATAGACCTGGTCTTTATAGGCATACTTAGAAACACTTTAGAAAAACAAAGCGCCTTCCATATACTGTGATCCTCTTGTTAAGTAACATCTGCTATAGTTTATCAACTTTTAAATAAGATTCCTTTATGAGCCATACGATCTTTTCTTGGGAAACTGGTTAAAGAAAAGTAGGGGTTGAGGGTATATTGTTGTATGAAGATTTCAGTGTAAAAGCAAATCAGTAATTAAGAGATGAAATAAAATACTGATCTAACTATGTGCAAAAGAATCTTTTAATAAGCTCTTTCTTCTTGCTGCTAAGAGTTTGCTAAACAGGCACAAATTATTCTGGACATTACTAAGTTTCTGTGAAATGCTGAAGCAAATTTTAAGAATAAATGTTTTTGGCAAAGAGCTGTTCCAAGTTGTCATGTTTATGTGGAAACTTAAAAATTACTTGAGGTGTGTAAAGTAAATTTTTCATTCAGACCACCTTTGACTTTGAGGTATTTTTGTACTAACATCTTGCTTTTTTTTTTTCCTAACCTAATACTTGGAGAAAAAAAAATCCACTATCCAACAGCAAGAATTCAGCTTTGTGTGAAATACCCTGTATTAGAAATACTATAGAAACACTTATGTGTAGTAAAATTCACACCATTGGATTGTCAGGTTGGTGAAAATATATAGGTAGAGGAAGGATGAAAATAATTTAAGTGCTTTTGCTAACATAAGTGTTTTCCAATATTTTCACTCATTTAGCAATTCAAAGCACATTCTCTGATAGCACAAGGTTGATAAAATTAAATTCTGAAATGGAATAACCTATATTAATACTTTTCTGTACCATAAGAAGATATTTGTAAGATATTTGTAAAATTTCTTGTTAGATCACAAGGTTTTACCAAAAAAAACACTGTAGTTAATTAAACAAACATTTTTAATATCATAAGAAGTCAATAAGGAAACTGAGCCAGATTCAGGATTGAAATAATGTAATCCTCCATGAAGGTATCAAAGCCAGATTTTTCACCTCAACCTAAGAAGGAAAACAGGAAAGTATCAGCAATTCAAAATAATATCAAAGAAACATTCTTATACATAATAAAATCAGTATGGAAATAGATTAGAACATACCAATGTGGAAAAACCACAACCAAAATCAGCTCAGAGAGAAGATTAAGGGATCATACCCTGGTCAAGGCCAACATTGAAGCAGTGGCAATACCAGGTCAGACTATACTTCACTCATCATTGCATCATTTCATTTCACATCCTTCTATACCTAAGAGCAGCCCGATACTCTCCACATCCAAGAAAACTTAGGTTAACCTATGAAAAAAATAAAGGTTTCTTTATAGATAAGTTTCAACCATTGAATAAAATATTCAATAAAATATTTTATTTTCCACTATGCTTTAAGCAACACTGCTATACAAAAATGCAAATGAGAACAAGTTTTGGCTTGGAGAAACATTTTTGCTTTTGAAATACAGGAGAGTTGAGAAGCATTTACGATTCAAAAAAATTTTTTTAATGTTTATTTATTTTGAGAGAGAGAGAGAGAGAGAGAGAGAATCCCAAGCAGGCTCCGTGCAGGGCCCAACGCAGGGTTCTATCCCACCAACCGTGAGATCATGACCGGAGCCAAAATCAAAAGCTGGACGCTTAACCAACTGAGTCACCCAGGTGCCCCCAAAAACTTTTTTTTAATGAGTCCAAGCACTAGGCATGATAAAATTTCAGCGATGTCTCTGAAGGGACTTATAATGCTAAAGCAAAAGCTTTAGAAAAGATTTTCTACTAAATTCCACTATGAAGTAAACTCCAGCTCATTTAATATACAGTTTGATTTACAATTCTGCTGCCAACAAAGAGAAAAAGTATAGTCATAAAATTTTTATACTGGAATCTTCTATCTTAAGAGTCCGAGACCCAGAGAGGCTATGTTTTGCCAAAGGTCCACAGCAAATTAACTAACAGTAGAACTGGAAAGAGAACAGGGGTCTGATTATCAGATTTACATTTTTCCACTACCAGCTAAATATGAGGTTTAATTTCATTTTTCTCCAGGCCATGGGCAAGATAAAAGAAGCAATGCAAAGTGTAAATAATTCAAAACCTGAATAATCAATTTCTGAATAAGAAAGCTGACGCATTTCATTTATTCTAAATGACACCTTCTGGTGGGATGTTGTTACATGGAAAAGTACTTGGATCACAATGTCACCCTCCGCAGCCTTTCAGCATGGTGGTGTTAGTACCTAAGCAACAATTCTGGAGACAGCACATGCTTCTTTAGCCATCTATAACTATCAATAGATTGATACTCCTTAATTATAAATTGACAGCTGTTGGTCTGTGTTGACCATTCAGCAACTAAACTCCATTTTTAAAAAAAATGGGAAAAAAATGGAAGGGGAGGGAAGGGACTAACAAAGTGCCAGTTTTACAGGGGCTACGCTTGAGCCTTTAGCTCATCTTCCTCTACAGGTGAAGCACACATTAAAAATGAGGAAAACAGAGGCTAAAGAGAACTTAATTAACTTTGTCTAAAAGCATGAAACTTGTGAGCAGAGCCCCAAGTGTGCTCCCGCCACATTGCTTCCTCAGTACACTTTGCTCCGTCTGGAGTGCCTCCCCCACCCCTTTCAATCTGGAGAACGCCTAATTATAGTAACCTTACTCAAAGGTCACCTTCTCTAAGTGGTCTCTAACTCAGTCATCCGCTCTTCTCACGCCACAGCACGCATCACATGCTACTTATTTAGCCATGCACATACTCCCCCTTCTCATCTCTGCCATCAGCCCCACGACACGGAGTTCCTAAAGAACCAGGGCAGTATTTTACTGCCCTTTGCACCCACTGCACTCAGAAGGGTATTTGGTACATAGGAAGAGTCTCAATAAATGAACGTTTAATTCAGTCACTGGGCGCCCCTCCCTCCTAAACCTTAAACTCCTAGATTATAAAAGCATCAACACAATTTATAAATCCAACTTACCTCCAATACCGCACGTAGGTAAAGATCATAGGTGAACCATCTCTAAGCCCTCCCTCCCCTAGCTTCTACCTCACGGCGATCTCCACCGCGCTGCGCAGGGCAACCAGTGCTTCCATACAACGGACCCTCAACAAAATAATAAAGTCCAAACCCCACCCACTTCAGGAAAGACTGAGAGGGGCCGTCCTTGCAGGGAAATACGAGTAAGGCCGAAGCCAGGGCTCAAACCAAAGACCCAGGCAGGAGTCGCAGCCCGCTCTCCGAACCCCTCGGGCTCCCACGCCGTTTCGGGAGGTTTGCTCCGGCCTGCGGAGACTGATGGCAGCGACCCCTCGGCATCTCGGCTCCCGGCGACATTCAGTCCGGCTCCCCGTTTCCCCCTTGCCACTTACCCCTCGCCTAGCCTCGCTGCCGCTCAGGAGACCCCAGTTCAGGAGCCCCCGCCGGACAACCAATCCTCCGGCAGCCATCGGGTCACGTGGGTCACAGCCTTCGTCGGGAGGCTGCGAGGAGCAGCCAATCGGAGGGCGAGGGGACCTTCAGGCGTGGAGCGGGACGGAAGGCGGAAGCGTCTTTCCTGTTGCCTGGTGTGGTGTCTCCATGTTCAGTCTAGTGCGTTTTCGGCCTCTGAGTGATTCCTGCCTGCCCCTCAACTTCCTGCCCTTGGACTTTGGGACGTCTTTTGCCGGTTGCAGGTCCTTTGCTTCATAACTGGGGAGGGCATTTGAAAGAGTTGTGCCCCGGGTTTCTGAGAAGAATTATTGATTCAGATAGTGATCTAATAGGATTTATTGCGCTTGGCCGAGTCCCGCGGGAGGGCTGGGGTGGAAAGAGGAATGTGTCCCTTTCTGTCCTGTGAACTCTTTGGCTGGTCGGGCTCTTCGACGCTTCCTAGATAAGCTTTCCACAAGAAAAGTGCAGCTGAGTATCAAAAGAAATGCGCAGGAGAACAGGAAGGACTTCCTGGAAGAGGTGGCATTTCATCTGATTTTGGAAAAGGTGGATAGATTTTGAAAATTAGGAGATTCTGGGAGAAGGAATAATTTGACGCCCGAATTAGATGAGAATGCATGGGGGAACTTAGAAATGTAGGTAGAGTCGATAGAGTGTAGTGTTTTTCAAAATTCGGTGAGTTAGGAAACACTGCAGGAAATTTAGTATGTATGTCCTCTAGCATCAAAGACCACAAAACCCCAAAAAAGCCTGGAGCACAACCCAACTATCTAATCAGAAATTCTAGGGTTGGATCCCAGGCAGTTGTATTATTGAAAGGTGCCTCAGGAATGATTCTGATTCATACCAGAGTCTGAGGACCACTCTTAGTGTTAAAGAAAGGAGGTGGTAAAAAATTTGAAAGACAAATAGAGACTTCCTCAAGGATGGTGGCTTACTGGTTGTGTAGATTTCCCTGGAGAAAGTGGGAGACTTCAAGATTTCAGGTGGGAGTAATTTGTTGATCAGAGCTGTACTTTTGAAAACTATGTATGCAAATATGTTTTTTAAATAGATCAAAGGAAGGCGAAGTGAAAGAAAGGGAAACTATAGCAAGTGATTGAAATGGCATAGGTGACAGCTGAGAAAGAGACTAAATTAGGATTGTAGAAGTGGAAATTGAGAGGTGGCATATGGAAAGCAGCATGAGGAATGTGATGAGTGTTGGATAGGGATGGGTAGAAGGTGTCAGCCTAAAAAAGGAAAACAGACAAGTGCAAAAAAGTAAAAAAGATGAGCTTATTTAGGAATAGCAGAGGAGTTGCAGCTTAAGATTGCAAACTTTAGCAAACTACATTGAATCCCTTGAGAGTTTGGGATAGCCTGTATTTTTGGGTAGGGAACTAAGGAGGAGAGAGCCCAGTTTAGAGTCTGTTTAAATAAAAAACAAAGGGAGTCCAGCTTTGAAAAGTCACCAAGCAAACAAAACCAGTCCGGGCATACAAACAAAGCTCAATTCAGCTTACTTTGCAAGACCAGCCTGACCTGGTTTATTTCTTGTTTGTGCCTCTGGGAACCCAACCATAAGCAAAACTTACTAAGGTTGATGTGAGGTAACCCCTGACCAACTCACTATCATTTAAGAAAATTCTAGGGGTACCTGGGTGGCTCAAACTGTTAAGGGTCTAACTCTTGAGTTGGGCTCAAGTTGTGATCTCATGATCTTGTGAGATTGAGCCCAGTGTGGGGCTGAGCATAAGGCCTGCTTGGGATTCTCTACCTCCCTCTCCCTCTGCTCCTCCCCTGTTTGCTTATGCACTCTCTCAAAAATATATCCAGTATTAGTTTTCTGTAGATCAGGCATTTATGGGAGATGATTCTCTCTGTCTTTGTATTTTCCTGAGGGCCTATGTGTGAGATTTCGTCATTTTAATTCCTCAGGTTCCATTTAATTAATTAATGTGTATATATTTCTGAGAGAGAGAGAGAGAGCAGGGGAGGAGTAGAGGGAGGGAGACAGAGACTCTGGAGTGGCCTCCATAGCAGACTCCATGCTGACAGCAGAAAGCCAGATGTGGGGCATTCTCACGAATTGTGAGATCATGACCTGAGCCAAAGTCAGACACTTAACCGACTGAGCCACCCAGGTGCCCCCCTCTCTTTCCATTTTAGATTGAAATTCTTTCACAAAGGACATGAAGAAATAAAGAGAAGAATGGAGAAAAATGGAGTGTCTTCTGTATCAGACCTATTAAGGATTTCCGTTGTACTTTTGGGGCAGAGGATGTTAGTGAAGATAATGGGTCTTTGCATGTGCCATTCTTTCTACCTGGTTCCCTCTTCCTTCTCCATCTCTCCCTCTTAACCTGATGCCGCCATCGTCATCATCGTCTTCTTCTTCTTTTTAATGTTTATTTATTTATTTTGAGAGACAGAATGCATGAGCAGGGGAGGGGCAGAACGAGATGGGGAGAGAGAATCCCAAGCAGGTCTCTCACTGTGATCACAGAGCCCAGCCCGGGACTCAATCCCACAAACTGTGAGATCATGACCTGAGCCAAAATCAAGAGTTGGACACTCAACTGATTGAGCTACACAGGTGCCCCTCAACCTGGTGCATTCTTACTTGCAGGTTGCGGCTCGCGTACCATCTCATTTATGAAATTTTATACTCACAAGTATAGTTATTGTCACTCCTCAGAACACCAGTGTGATGCTAGCTTATAATGGTCATAGATGTGGACTATATTTGCAAACTGTTATAACAGTCGAATGAGCACACAGAGAATGCATAGCAGGTAAAGTGCTCAACTGATGTTATTATATATGTTAAATTGCAATGAACTAATACATGTTTTTCCTCTCTAGATTGTGAGCAGGACATGTGTCTTATTCTGGCTAACAGTAAGGCTGCATGGCAGAATGATAGTAAATGAGTTTTGCAATAGACCGGGGTTCAAGTCCCAGCTCTGTTACTTACTGGTGTGTAGCCTTGAGCTTATGTCCCTGAATTCAGTTTCTTCATTTATAAGATGGTGAAATTAATGCACATCTTACAAGTTGTTATAAGGATAATTTGAGACAATCAAAGTTGCATATCTGGCCCAAAGAAGGCAGTCACTAAATAGCAATTTTTCTTGTGACATGTAGCCCCAGACTACATTCCATTTTCACAAGAATTGTACAGAGAAGGCACTATTATTATCTCCAGTTTACACGGAAGGAATCTGAGGCTTAGATTAGCATAACCAAGGTCTCAAAGCTAGAGCAAGGATTTCAACATCTTAGGTACTCAAAAAAAAAAAAAAAAAAAAGCTGATTGAATGAGAGAATGAAGGAAAGTTAGGAGACTTACCCAGGGTCAGTCAGTAGTGACGGAGAGCCAGCACTGTTGCTGTCGGTCACTATGCTGTCCATAGTCTTCAAACCATCTCTATGAATGAACTGAGTAGATAACTGAATGCTGGTATTTGTCAGTTTGTGTCTAGTGAGAACAAAGGTTGTGCCCTAATTACCTCTGTTGATAAATTGAAGTACTTAGTGAATAAACACATCTTAAATAAATTGGAGGCTCTAGTGTTTTTTTTTTTTTAATGTTTATTTTTGAGAGACAGAGAGAGCAGGAGAGGGACAGAGAGATGGAGACACAGAATCTGAGGCAGGCCCCAGGCTCTGAGTTGTCAGCACAGAGCCCGACGCAGGGCTCAAACTCATGAACTGTGAGATCATGACCTGAGCTGAAATCGATGCTTAACTGACTGAGCCACTCAGGAGCCCCTGGAGGCTCTAGGGTTTAGTCAGTTGTCAACAGCACAGCCAGATCACTTTCCCAAGAACTAAGAAAAAGCACTGTCCAAGCTACTGATTTCAAGTTATTTTGTATCATGGACTTTTGCTTTGAGCTATCAGATTCTGGATGTGAGATTCCCCTCTGGCCTGATAACTTAACCATTCATATCCAGGGGGCTTAACTAAGACAATTTGAAAAGGGAAGAGAAACTCTGCTCATAGCTCACATTGTCCCTCTTTCTCCAGAATGGGTTCCCCATAGTTTATTGAAGAAGAAGAAGAGGGAAATAATCCTGTTCCTCATTTTCCTGCCCAAATAGTGTTCCTCCTGTTGACTGGGAAGAAAAAGGGAGCTGTTTAGGTAGATTTCTGATTTTGAAGACTCCAAAGAAATCAGAAATCCCAAACGTCAAAGGCAGCGGAAGGAGTAGGAGCATTTGTAGTAGTAGGCAGACCTGGCTTTGAATCCCCACTCTTCCACTTACTGATCATGTAATCTCAGTGTCCATATAGCTGTACCACATTCCCAGCTTGGTCCTTTGGACCCCAAAGCGCTTGTCCAATAAATGATGGTCATTTCTATTTAAATGTAAGTAATATCAAAAGGATTTCAGTGTGAGAGCAAGGCTGAGAGTTAAAGGTGGGTGACAGAACTAAAACACTGAATTTAGAGGGGAAGTGAATGAAAAAGGGATAACTTTGAAGCCCAGAGCAGGCCTTTGGAGTTTATTATGTTGCTGTGCTGATGGGGACATCATAGCATCTGTTCTGCCTCCTATCCTGGAAACTCGATTCAGCCAAACATGTACAAAGGGTAATGCCACCAAAGCAGAACTTGGTAGGAACAGTGACTTCAGTTAATTTAAAAAACTAAGGGTGTCCAGGGGCGCCTGGGTGGCTTAGTCGGTTAAGCGTCCGACTTTCGCTTAGGTCATGATCTCGCGGTTCGTGGGTTCGAGCCCCGCGTCGGGCTCTGTGCTGACTGCCAGCTCAGAGCCTGGAGCCTGTTTCAGTCTGTGACTCCCTCTCTCTCTCTGACCCTCCCCTGCTCACGCTGTCTCTCTCTCTCCTAGAAATAAAAAAAAAAAAAAAAAAAAAAACTAAGGGTGTCCAGAAACTTACTTGAGAATGTCATGTCACGATAAACAAATTGAAACAGAAACGCAGAGTTGTTTGGTGGTTTGATTTCGAGGGAGAGAAGTAAGTAAAACCGTGGTTTGTGAGCATATTTCGTTCCAGAAACATGCTTGTAATC